AAAAATATTTAGGTGACGACTTTGTAATCTAGAAAAGCAGTCCATTTTTGGCATTTTTTTATTGAAAATCAATTTTTCAAAAGATTTACTAGATTTGGACTCATTTGTGTTCATCTATTTCACATTGCACTTGTGAAATCAAATTCAGAACCACGAGAGTCCGAACTGTATGGCTAATTATATCCGAAAGGAACACGAAAAGCAAGCTACAGTTTCTGGCGACTCTGCTGGGAATTTTAGAGAACTTGACTCGAACTTCATGATGCGAATTTTTATCTACATATATATATTCTTTGCATTGCATTTGCATTATTACTATAAGTCACTGTGCTTTCCATCTGCTATTCCTGGACAGCATGCCAGAGGTTTGCCTAAAAAGCTTGCCAAAAGGCTGGCCGGTCATGAGCTCTGCTACGTTAGAAACACAACCCTTGGATCTAGATTACCACTGTACTGCTTGATCCTCCTTTAACTTCTCGATGTTAGGTGTGACAGGTATATTAAGTAATCTTGTCGAGGTACCCTTTTGGACCAATCGGCCTAGTGCATATAGCATGCTCTAGTGACTATCCCAAAATAGGACAGGATGCCACTTGTATACAGGATGTTATGAAACCCCATTTGTTTGAAATAGTGTAGCCTAGATCATGTCAAAAATCTAGGACAGGGTAACCCTACCCCCTCACAGGGGTGTTTTGGTTCTTTTACCTGGTATGTGCTTTTGCAACTGCACAGGATGGTTTATATCAGCAGTACAAATGAATATCAGTTTGAGAACAAAGTTCAGTAAGGATTATAGTCTTTCAGCTGTGTGTTGTGACCATCATGAATTAGGGCCAAAGTGTTGCCCAATTTTTTATTGTGTTTTTTTCTTTCTTTTGCTAAGTAGTTTACCATCATATCTTCAGAAAGACCCAATATTTCCCAAGTTGTGTGGACTCACTTTGGCAGGCTTTGCAAAGCTCAAGACATTGTTGGTGGTCAGCCAATGTCAATCTCACTCCTGCCAGTTGTTTGATGAAGACAGAACAGACAATCAACAGCACCAATACAAAGCACTCAGCAAACACCAGTTCACTCAAGCACTTGCAATGGCATAGAACGTGGAAGAATTTGCTGCCATGATGGCAACTTGCCAGTGAACCATGGATACTGTGAACCAGAGGATGGCCGCACATGATGAAATCACTACTAATCTACGATGCAAGTCTATGGCATCCGCGTCAATTGTACACCCAATCCCGACTGCTCAGTCGAACCCAGATCCACCTCCACCAATGGAAAATACCCAAATCCTAGATTCTCATGAAATGTTTCCCCCGACTCCGGCTTATAAGCTTCTGGCACAACCCCGAGCAAAAATCCTTCCATTTGATATCAATGAAATTGATCTAGCCTTGATCAAAATTGCCAGGCTAGAAAAAGCATTGAAAAAGTTCCAAGGCTTCAATTCCATTCTAGATATAGAAGACGGGTACACTGAGGCTTCGATCAAATTATCGAAAAAATTTAAAATGCCCCACATCGACAAATTTGATGAGAGTGGGGATTTGATTGTACATGTCCGCTTGTTTTCAGATGTGCTAAGACCGATGGGCCTGTCTCGAGCTCAAAAACTATCATTATTCGGGAGAACCTTATGTGATGTAACGGTCATTTGGAATGCTAAACTGGAGGATTTCATGAAGCGGAATTGGGAGAAGCTATCTGAGGTGTTTGTTAACCAGTACTCATATAACACTCAGATAGAGGTAACCATTAGTGAGTTGGATGACAAATAGACCTTCCGAAAGAGAGCAGGTCTAAGTGGTGGTCCAGAACCTTGAGCTAGATATGCTGTAGAGAATGATAGTGGCACCGTTATCCACATTTGCTTTTCACTACACGAGTTGGGGGTCCAAATTGAGAGTGCATTCAAGAAGGGCATCATCCATAGAACTAGTGAACCTGCTAGAAGGCCATTCTCCCAGAGTACCAATGCTAGCAATAGCACTATTCCATGGCCTGCAGATGTCAGTACTATTGTTACAGTAGCTAAAATGGCCAATCCCTCTGCTGCAACTACCTCACAACCTTCACAAAATACCGGCCCACCCCGAAACCGAAGAATATTTACCCCTCTTCATATGAGTCCAGCTCGTGCGCTTAAAATGTTAATGGAAATGGGGGCATCTCAAGCCCCTTGATCCGCGACCTCTCCCTGACCCACTACCACCTTGACATGACCCGACCCAGTACTGTCTCTTTCACCAACAACATGGCCACCCCCACAAACTTGTGCTATCACTTACGTCATAAGATCTAGGATCTCATTGACAACAAAGTCATTGCTCCACCTGCCAAACCAAACATAACCACCAATCTAGTTCTTGCTCATAACCAAGTCCCCTTACCTAGAAATATTAACCAAATCCATACACTACCACCCTCCTTCAACCCCAACGCGTATATTACCTCATCTCACTTATTGAAACCTGAGGTGGTTATCCCAGAAGGCACAAACATGTGCATGATGGGCCTCACACCGCAAACCCAACCCAGGCCTGTGGAGACAGAGATGGAGGAAAAGGAGAATGCACGGAAGATAGGGTCATCTGATACCCACATTATAGAGAAAGGGACCTCACTCGCGAAGGGGTATGACCCCAGCTTATACATTGTGGCAGTCGATCAGCTAAAGCCAGTAGTCATACTGTCGAACTCCGTCAATATCAAGGGCTATTTTCAAGGGCTGAAATATGTGATTCAAAGTTGCAAAAAATGGAGAGGTTAGCCACCCTTCCTTAGGCTTTGTTCCATAGGTTTTTCTCTACTCTTTTTACTTACTTTCTCTTGCTTTTGCCACTGCTTTTCTTGGTATTTATGGGTTGTTTAATAGTTTTTTTAACTTATGCTTTGCATATGTTGTGTTGTTGTAAGTCCTCATGGATTTGGTGTGTTTAGGACATAGCCGCCAATCCGTTTGAGTTGATACCCTTTTCTTTCATTTTCATAGCTTTCATTTATTTCATTTTCATGGCTTTCTTACATGTTCATACCATTGTAATCACCTTTGCATGATCTTCTCTACAACTTCCCTCCTTTCTTGGTTTTCTTTCTCTTTTTTAAGAGTTGTTTCAAATAATTGATTGTTGTTCAAGGCATGATAAAGAGACCTTCCATGCTTAATAGTTCAATCTCTTCGGAGGTTCATTACCAGGGCATTATATATATCTCATTTTAAATACAACTTCTTATTTGACACTTCTCTTCATTAGTGTACATAACTATCACTTTTGGACAAAATGGAATAAAAGATAAGAAATGGAAAGGTAAGTTAAAAAAGGCTAATAAATCAGTTTAAAATCGGCTAAAACTGACATAAAGAGATAATAAAATTGGTTGGATTTGGTCAAACGTTATGCCAAATCCATCGCTTCTAGATTCATCACATATTAATTCATGATGTTCGATGATTCTTGAGGTGTGCCTACCTCCCTTCTTGAATAATTTCATAATAGGAAGAAGATGTTGCTTGTCTTTCATTGCATTCACTAAACTTTTGTCCTATCGTGTCCAAAATCATCATGCAATCAACTTGTGACCATTGATGGTTTGGGAACCGAACCCGCTCTTCTCTTGAGTATCTCCATGATAGAGAAGGGCAAAAAGGTCAAACATGGCTTAGGAACACTCTGTATGCACTGTTTTCACCTTATTGCACAAAATAGTTTTTCTGCCAAAAATTAGGGCAAAGCCGGATCTGTTTGGGCCCGACAATGCTTCATTTAGGCCTAGCTGGCCTCCAATGTGTTGTACATAGGGCACTTTTAGGAAGTACAGAGCAGTGCCTAAGGGTGAACGTAGGGCAATTTCCCAACAAAGCAGACAGAGTAGTTTCTGGGAAACATTATCATTGGCTCGTGCACAATCATTGGTTTATTTTTTAAATGGATTGTTATAATATCATTGTTGTAATAAATTAGATAGTTATTCATTTTTTATTCATAGGTTGGCTCACCAGACACCAGGATACAGTCAAAGGAAAATAGGCCCCTGTATAAAACCAAGCCACTTAACTATTACAAGGTGGGCAATCAGCCGAAAGGAAGGCCTGAATTTGGCTCACGACAGGGAATCAGGCCTAGTGATTGGCCTCCAAGAACTGCTTCGAAAACAGTTACGAAGACATGGGTAGCGGCCCTAGCAGCTAGAGTCGTCGGTTCATGGGTCCCTGGGGTTCCAGATTGGTTTGTCATACAGAGCAAACCTAAAGTCATACTAGCACAATGCAAGACTTTCAGACAAAAGAGAAGGATGATCAAGCCTCCTTTGGTGGCTCCAAATAATTGGGTTCTACTAAAAAGCCCAAAAACAAGGGAGCCAGACATGGTTCAGTGATTTCTAAGTCCCAAAAGAGAAAGATCCAGTGAAGGTACACTCAATATCAGATGGACCTAAAAGAAAGTGGAGAGAGTACTTCTTTGGCACAGTCAAAAGGCCAGATAGAAGAAGGAGAAGGTCCAAGGCCTGCTCCTAAAATCAAAGAGGGTGCTAGTAGAGAATAGTTGGCTAAAGTTCATACTAAACTGAAAGCCAAAGAAAGATCCAGCCTAGTAGGCCTTGAGAAGGCCTTGATGGAGAGTGACACTGAGACAGAAGGAGAAGCTGAACTAGGCCAAGAGAAGGAGTTGTCTAAAAATGAAATGTTCAAAGCCTTCATGGATGAATAGACCTTCTTGGTCGAAAAGCCAACAGGAGCAAATCACAAACAAGTTGCTTCGAAGGAAGACGCCAGCACTGAGGTACCAGAGTGCAGCATAGAGGATGCCTCCCAAGCTTCAGAACAGACTCATATGGAAGGAGAGCAATCACAACCAGTGGTGCAGTTTGGCTCATTCCCTCCGGTGCCAGTAAATATGGAATATGTGCTGCCATAGGAATTCCAAGCTAAAGAGGGAAACAAAGAAGGTCAAGAAGATGACCCCATTCTAGTGTCTAGTGAAGATTCGCAAGCCAACATGGTTCGAGATGAATTAGAAGTGACCAAGCCAATGGAAACTGATGAAGAAAGCGAGGAGGTGAGCATTAACCTCTCATACCCCTTCGAGTACCCTATAATATCAATGACCCAGCATGTAAAGCTCCTATATATCAAGGCTTACTTTGATGAGATACAAATGAACAGAGTGTTAGTGGACAATAGGGTAGCAGTAAACCTGGTTCCAAGGTCTTCTTTGAAGAATTTGGGAAAAAGAAACCCTAGGTTGATCCCAACTAGCACAACCATTGCTGGTTTTACTGGGGATAAGCAAATGGCTCAGGGTATTCAGCCCATTAACCTAAGTGTGGAAATTAGAGATTTCATGACAGCATTCTTTGTTATAGACAGTAATGCCAAGTATAATGCTTTGTTTAGCAAGGATTGGATCCACACCAACAAGTGTGTGCCTTCCTCTGTACATCAGAAAGATGATGATAACTTTGTGCAATGGGGAAACAGAGGAAATGAATGTGGATCCACAGCCTTTTATTGCTTGTGTTGATTTTATTGAGTCCAAGCTATACACTGAAGGGGTTATACCACTCAGTGTGCTGAAATCAGTATGTTCTGTGAATGATTGCTTCTGTATTAATGTGTAATACGATTGAATCTATGGAAACTAAGGCTGATGAACAGTATATGAATGATTACTTACAAATTGTGTTCCCTATTATAGGGTTAATATATGAATTTGCCTTGTATACCTGATAACTTCTGATCGACTTTGAATAACTGTGGTGGGTTGTTGAATCGAATACTGAATTGAACAATGAACTGTTGAATGACTGGGAAATGAATCAAGTCTCTATAACAAGCTGAGTGAGGAGGAAACCATTACTTAAATGGAAAATGGAATAAAGCTATGACATCTGTTGCATCTGATTTATGTGGTACCTCAAGTTTGGAGGACCAAACTTCTTAAGGTAAGGAGAGTGTAACAACCCCAACCCGTAATTAATTACTAATATGTACTTGAGGGTGTTAATTAAGGGATTAAAATAAATCATGTGTTTATTGTGTATTTTGTATACTATTTGGCTTTCTATCTGTTATTCGTAAAAATATCTATCTGGAATTCTGCTTTGATCTAAAAATTGAAAGCCTTATTGGCTTTTGAAAGTGAAACTGGTTACATTAATATGTTATTCAGAATTTTTAGAATCAGATGGCAAATTTTATTATAAACTGATTCAGTTTAATTAATTAAGTTGTGTTTGGTTGGTCAAATGTTCTAATTATTGTATAATAGAATCATGACTATATATATGAGCCTTAAGCTCATTCTTGAGCTCAATTTGCTTCATTTGAGTGCAAAAAATGAAGTGCAAAAATCTGAGATTTGCATTTTGGAGAGAGAAAACCCTCATTTTAGAGAGAGAAAGTAAGAGATTGAAGAGGAATTAAAGATTTTGTGTGTGAGTTCATCAAGATTGTGTAAGAACAAGTATGTTTGAAGACTCTAGGTAAGAATTCAACCGCCCAATTTATGAATCGAAGTTATCAACATGAAGATTATGTGTTTAGATGTGTAAATTGAGCTTAGAATGAAGAATTAGGTTGTAATTCATACATGCAAGCATACATAAGTGTTAAGTCATCATTTTGATCATGAGCTTCATTCGTGTTGAATTTGGAGCATGAGATGTACATGAATGAATAATTTACCAAATTTTGAGAGTGAATTCCATGTTCATATAGTCTTAGAAGAAAATTGGCAGAAGGATTTTACATGCACGCATAAACATGAAGAGTTTTTCCATGTTGATTTAATTTTGACCATCTAAGTTGTTATCATAAGTTATTTGGTACATCATGTGTAATTCCTCATGTTTTAAAGTTTAAATTCATGTTTTGAAAGGGATTTCTCTCATGTATGGAGCTTTTGAGCTCAATTTTGTTTAAAACCATGGTGTTGAAGAAAAAGGGTTTATAAAACTTATATACATGGAAGTTTGAACTCAATTTTGGTGAATTCATGAGTTTTGAACAAAAAGAGTTAGTGAAAATCATATGTTTTTGTTTTGGAAAAGTTTTCAAGCTTTAAAGACAAGCCATGCATGCGTATTGCCTTTGAATTTGCATTTTGGAAGCTCAAAAGCTTGTTTTGAAAACCCAGAATTTTTGCAGGTCGCTCAAGCGAACATTTCGAGCATCCAATAGTATTACAGTTTATTACAGACCGCTCGAACGACCATTTGGTGGCTCGAGCGAACTCTTTGTATTTTGTCTAACCGCTCAAGCGAAGGAGTTATGGATCGAGCGTATTTTTCACCCATCTAGCACTTTTGCAGGCGGAGCAATCTGCTCGAGCGACCAAGCCAATTTCAACATATTTTTGAAAGACATTCAATGTTCAAATTTTGTTCCTATCCTTTTTTGAGCATATTTAGGCATGAGTTATGAGTCATTAAAGAGTAATAAGCTAAGGAATGACATGAGTAATTGAATTAGAAAATATGAAACAAATCCGAGATCCGAGAATGTGATTCACATCTATAAGTTATGAGAATGGACTGAATAAGAAATCAATGTAAAGAAAGCTAAGTCATAATGGCCAATTACATATGTAATGATAAGATATGTTTGTGTTATGCACCTTTGTGTTTGTAGGTCAATGTTCCAAGATTGATTGATTGTATTTGGAAACCCACTGTGAGTAATGTTATTATAAATATATGTTCATACGAATTATGTTCCAATGTGATATGATAAGTTATGATTTCTGAATTGTAATTTGTTTACATGAACGAATGTCCTATGTTTGAATCTATTATGGCATCCATAGATAGTCCCAAGTCATGGGAGACGGCATATTAATATGGGTCCATGACATATATGTAATTACGAGATCTCGTTAGCCACTTCATTATAGTGATATGTGTTTAATCGGTATTTGGAACCGATTACTCTAGTCAGAAGACAATGTGATATGTTCTATTAGATGTACCATTATTATGTTCAGATATGAGGATGATTATGTTATGATATGTTTTATGGATATGATATGTTCGGAATTCGTTCACTAACCTCTTTACATTAATGTTATTCACTGGGCTTTAGGTCACTCTGTGTATATATATGTATAGGTGAGCGTTCTAGAGATCAAGCCTGAAGACTTTTGTTTGGATCCGTGTTCTGTTGTCAGCCAACCATTGTGCCTCACGTGGAGGTTCCTGAATGCCACGTGTTAGAAGCTTCGGTCATTTCTGTATATAAGACTTTGTTTGTTTTGTTGGCTGGACTTAAGATGTTATTGTTGTGTGTGGGTATAACGTGAGAATGACTTTTGGATATGTATATAAAGTTTTAAGTATTCTATTTCATATAAGTCTGCACAACTCATTGGACGATTATATTTATGTATTAGCTTCCGCTAGCCACTTAGTTTGTGATTTTGTTCCCGAGGCCGTAGGTAATCTTAAGATTACTGGCGAGTTATAATGCTAAACCAATATGGGCGGGTTTGGGTCGTGACAGAGAGGTAATCAGGGAGGCTTTTCTTGTTTTTAAGTGTGGCCAGTTGGATCACAGGTGTAGAGACCCTAATTTTTGTAATTACCATTAAATCCCCAACCTTGAGTTTATTTCAATAAAGCCATTGAATTTTCGCTTAATTGCATTTCAAACCCTAGAATCGAGAAGCATCGCGGATTAATTCGAGTAAACCCTAGTCGATCCCCTAGATTAATAATCACCTTTAAAAACCTATTATTAATTATTAGACCCTATAATTATAGATTAATCACTTTAAAATCTTAATTCCCGGTAATGCCGCTTTTGCTCGGTTTCTCGCCTTTGTTTGCGCTTTAATTTAACGGGACCCAAATTTATTATTCTAACTATTTTATAATGTTAGTATATTGTATACTAAATACCAAGGTTTCATAAATTTAGACTTGGTCTCTATATACTTCTATTTTATTTAATTCTAAACCTTAATTGTAGTACTTTCTTAATTAATTTACTTATGCCTATTATTTTATGTTTATAAATGCAAATATCTTATATATATATATATATTTCTTGAAGCCCAAGCAGTTGGCCATGTGATGGATGAAATGACCTTGATGGCAACTTTGATAAATTACACTTATAAAACTTGGCCCCTAAGAAACCTCCCAATCCTTTCTCTATATATATGCACACTTCTCCCCCTCAATTTACACATTTTCAGCCATGCACTAGAGGAGTGAGAGAGAGTAATCTTGGGAAAAAAAAAGAGAGGGAGAGGGAGAGGGAGAGGGAGAGGGAGAGAGAGGAAGAAAAATAAGAATTGTGTTGAGTCTTGTACAACAAAGGTAAACTTACATCACCTCTTCTCTCAAGTTCTTTTACGACTTGTGTTTCCGCTCCTAACACATGCTCTCTCTCTCTCTCTCTATATATATATATATATGTTGTGGTCTAGGCCTACACTCCTGTATAAATGTGTATTAATCAAGAAATGGTATGCTTTTCTTTCTTTCTTAAATTTCAAACAACAAATCTTTTCCCCTTCTCTTGAATTTATTTTCCTATCAAAACTCCATAAACTCAAAATATGTTTTTATGGGGTAATATTTGGTGTGTCTAGAGTATGTGATAATTTTGGTAGGACCTAAGGATGTATTTTTATAACCTAAACAATTTTTCTAAGTTTGTTACTCGCAAAACCAGAAAAACAATCTCTTTCTCTATTTTTATAAAATTCCAGAAAAATAATCTTGAGTCCACATTTATGTCAAAATCTTAATCTTAGTATTATATTTTAACTAAAAAAATTTTAAACTCAAGAGAGTGAGGGGTTCGAGGGAAACACCAATTTGCGTAACGGTCAACGAATCTAGACAGATCTTGGTAATTCTAAATTATCTTAAAATCTAAAATACCTATCCTACTTTCGTAAATTGAGTTTGAAACTAGACTTATTTATCTACAAACTCACATGAGGTCTGGTACTTAGGGCCAATAAAAGTATTTTTTTCATAATTATTTTCAAACTAGTTCAAATCTGGAAATCTGTGTTAATATGCTCTTATTTGGTTTGTAACTCTTATATTCTATATTTCTTGAATGTCTTAGTCTTGATATGTAATCTATGATAAATTGTAAATTTTCTTTACCATGAATAAATTACTTGTTGTTTAGTTTAGATTTGTAATTATATTGACCATGCTTTGCTATAACTGAGAACATAATGCACTTAATTAAGGGAAAATCAAATGGGATGGTAATGGGTTGCGATAATTGTTTTAAATTTTATGAGATAATGAATGATGGATTCAAGAGTATGATATAGTGGAATGTGTTGCATTTTTGTGAAGTCTTGTGCAAGTGTGTTTTCAAACCCTAACATGGCACGGGAGGTATTCTGGCTGCTTAACGAAAATAGGAGGCATAAGGGTGGCAGTGAGGGTCTCACACAAGGAGAGTATCCCTGGAAGCCCGTTCCCTTGGGGCAGACGGTGATATCACCACTCGGGTATGTAACCTAGGTACGTGGGCATCATTGGTAATTGTGTA